GTTGTCCGCGGTGAGAGGACGAGAAGCCGTAACTCAGTTATAGTCAAGGCCAGTTATAATCCGTTCATTTTGAGCTGTTACTATGATTTTTCAGGTCCCAGTACTACAATACCTTTTCTATCTGACGAATATGGGTATCGCAATGTCGCCTTTATCAAATAACTCATTATTTATTAGTTATCAACGTAATCCACTCCCGGAATATCTTCAGAAGGTTCGACTATCGATACGATATCAGCGTGCATAGCTTCAGTAATTATTTTCACTTTTTCCAGGGCCTTAATGTTTCGTTGTCTACCGACGATCCTCTACAATTCCATTACACTAAAGAAGCTCTGATGGAGGAGTACTCAATCGCTGCACAGGTAATGTTCACTCCTATTGAAGAAAGGTTCAGCCTCATGTTGAACGCCGACCCCCCCCCATGCTCTACCAGTTCTCAGACTTTTCTGCCCAAAATGTCGAAAAGGCAGCTAAAACTTCCCTGAGTTGCTTCCAAGTTACTTGTTCAGGTATGGAAACTGAGTTCGTGTGATATGTGCGAACTGGCTCGCAACAGCGTCCTTCAGAGTGGATTTGAAGATAAAGTAAGTTGACTTCAGACATTATGTTCCCAAAAAAGTGATGAGATACAGAATTCTTGAAATCATGTCCTTAGTAGTAGTATCTAATAAAAGTACGAGTTTTCAGGTGAAAATCCACTGGTTGGGTCCACATTACCATTCATCGACGAATGTTCCAGATATTGGTAAGTTTGGCCAGACAGCAAAGCCTGTTCTTACCTTCCATCAAATATTTCCCCTGAAACATTGCAAAAAGCTCTCAAAGCGTTGATCTGGGTCACCGGTCGCGAGCAGGTGGCCAGAGAAGTGCGCTTCAGGTCGGGTACTTTGTTGGTGTGGTTAGAATGGCGGTGTCACTACGCCCCCCTCAGTTTTATCCCCGTCTCCGTGGGTATGATTCCACCCTCACAACCTACAATACTTTCCCAAAATTCGAGACGTCGCCTCAGCATGCGCTGGCCCAATGGCGTAACAGATAACGCACTTGCACGAAAAGCGCGAGGACGGGGCGTCAGACCTCAGTTCCCTAGATAATAACAACTTGTGAACATTTATTATTTCTTATTTCATTATTTGGCGCTGTCCGGCTTGGGAGGGGCATTATTGCACTTCGGCTAGGTCCTCCTAGGTTGCACGTCTTTCCTTGGCCAGACGTGTATACTCTTGTGAAGTGTTAGCAGTGTAACATTCCAACCACACCAACAAAGTGTATAGTTTCGAAGGAATTCACAGGTCTCCTTAGGAGGCATCGGCAGTGGTCGATAGGAGCCAGCGAAATGCCCACAAAGCCGAGTTGCCCCCATTTTTTTCCTTCTTTTATTACTTTTCTTATACACTTATTCGTTCGTTTCAGGGTGTCGTTCCGTCACGAGGCACATGTTGACGAGCTATGCAATTTGTTCCATCTTCAGCATTTAACAAATTCTTCGTTCGTTTCAGGGTGTCCTTCCGACACGAGGCACATGTTGACGAGCTATGCAATTTGTTCCGCGTTCAACATTTAACAAATTCTGACTAGTTATTGATGGAACCGATCTGAAAAGAGAGCTAAAGGAAGAGATTTTCTTCGCTTTGACTTTGATCGTTGACTTCGTTTTTATGTCCTTCTCTCTTGTGGTTGCTGGAGCGCTTGTTTTGCGCTAGACCATTTTGGCACCTGGGTTAAATAAGCTCCGTAAAATTACCTGGGTACAAAAGAGATGGTTGCAATTAGTTGGGGCGGTGTTAGGAGCATGCAATGAGCTCACCTGCGGAGTTTTCTCTCATTGGTTGTTATCTTCCTGAATCGACCGCTAACCGATTACAACTGGTGGAAAACGCAGCCAGGAGCGGGCTTATTCCACGCCTCATGACACCGCCCCGATCTTGTAAAGCCATGAACATGACGGGTAGTAGCGAAAAGCAAGATGCTCCTTCCCCCTCCTCCCCCAACCCCCAAATGGAATGCGCTTCCATATCCTCTGCAATTGTTCCAAGGGCATTCTACATGATTTTTACCCTGCAAACAA